TGAGGGCACCAGACACCACACACCCGAGATCTCATCACTGAAGTTGTGGAAGCTCGGAAGTAAGTACTCGCTTCCTCACCTTCAAAATGAGTACAGTGCCGGACTCCCCAACAAGCAAGCACGGGATTACTGGTGCTTACTTACTGAACTGTCCTGAACAACTTCCTATTGTCTCACCACATGAACGATTCTGCTTCTGCGTCTGGCTGGCATCTGTCTGTCTCCCAAGCCCACAGCACCTCCCTACAGAATCAAAGCCTCGTTTCAAATGCACGGCCCCTGACAGGGACAGAGCACCCAACATGTAAGGTATGCACAGGCTCACTCAGCTTACTTCCTTACGTGAACTGTCTCTCATGTTTGTCACTTCCTGGCTGTGTGATTTGGGGCAAGTCACTTACCCACTCTGGGCCCCCACTGATCAGTAAGCTAGAGCCAATAGACCTAGGGCCGCTGGAGGAAGGATTGGCGCTGTGTGCCTGGCACAGGGTAGGCCGGGCCCAGCAACCGGTGGTCATGGTGGTTATTTTGGATTTGATGTGCTCGTGGGGTGTGATGGCGGCTGCCAGTGCCATAACCCTCCTGACTCTCGTACTTAGTGATGTGACAGTCAATGGTCGTTGTTGGCGGCCACTTTCTGCCATCCCTACTTCTCCCTAGACATGGCTGGCCACCTCTGTTAGCTGTGTCATCACAGGGACGCCCATAGCACCCCAACTACCCTGTTTTCTTGGGGCCTCACAAGTTTTCTGCTTCTGCCTCACCGCTTTTCTATCCCCCGTTTTAGTGGAGGGTCAGGGGGATGTACATAACTTTACGCCCCGTATGTTCTACCACATTCATGGCTGTTTTTGCAGCAGAGGTGAACATACGCACACACACAAACACATTTGTTTAACGTTATATTGTGCATCGAGTGAAGGTTTCACAGAGCAGATCCGTTTTCCACTCCACAATTCATACTCATTTTGTTTCAACTCAGACTGCAGTCTCGACAAGGAAACACCACTTACCCTACTTCCTCTATTTCTCGTTTCTGTCCCTCCTTGCTCCCTACCCCTTCTGGACTTGGAGGAGGCCCGGTGGTGTAGTGGTTACCCATTGGGCGGATACCTGCAAGGTTAGTAGTTCTCAACCACCAGCTGCCCCTGGAGAGAGATGGGGCTTTCTCCTCCTGTAAGGAGTTACAGTCTATCAGAAACCCAGAGGGGCGGTTCCGCAGGCTCCTGCCCTGCAGGGTCGCTACGAGGAGGCATTGACTTGATGGTCAGGGGTGTGGCTTAGGTTTTCTTCTGAACTTTGTCTTTGGGGAAATGCTGCCCTTTTTGCTCTCAAACGGTGGGTTAAGGTGTGCATACCACGCTAGTGTTACTGTTCACCTTATAGACTGGCCTGCTGTTTTGCTGAACATCATTGAGCCATGGAGGTGAGTTCATTTCCTGGACTGAAGACGGACTAAGGGTCATGGTGCTGGGGTCCCACCAATCTCTATCTGACCAGGAAGGCTGGACTCTCTGACAATTCCATTCCACATTTTCTCCCACTTTATCCTAGGACTTTACAATGGGATCCTTTCCGGAGTGGTTGGCAGTGGGAGCTGGGCACCATCTAGTTCTCCTGGTCTCAGGAGAGTCGGGAAGAGCCTGATGTTCCTCTGGTTCCTTAGTTCATCAGACTCATTGTTTCCATATATCTTTTCATTTTCATCACTCTTTTTTTCTCCAGATGTGGAGAGGCCATCAGTTGTATCTTAGATGGTCGCTTATGAGCTGCTTTTAAGACCCCAGTCACTACTCACTTCAGTAGGATGTAGAACATTGTCACAGTGCCATTTGACCCTGCTGTCCCCCGAGACTGTGGTCCTTAGACCCTCGGCTCAGAGACTCATTCCCACAAGGTGTTTGTTTGGGTTTAAGGTAACTTTTGCCCCTGTTACTCCACCACATTCACGGATGGATTTGCAGCAAAGGTTGATAGCAGTGTAGAAATAGCTCTGTGTGACCACTCTGTACTTGGAAGTACATTCCCACTCTACCCCCAGCCCCCCTCCCCCCCACACCTGTTCACGCTGTGTGTCTGCCTAAGCATCTCTCTGTAGGTCACCGTGCTTGCAGGGTTATGTACATGGAAGTATTTTAGTGGAAAATATTTAGGTCTTAATTCACTGACATGTCATGACCTTTCCACTTTCTGACTTTATTGATATTGATTCTAAGATGCCGTCGGTAATAAGACACCCTTTAATTTTGATTCCTTAAATAACGGAACTTTAAAGAAATCATTTTATTGGGGGCTCTGACAGCTCTGATCACAATCCATACCTATATCCATTGTGTCAAGCTCATTTGTGCATATGTTGCCATCATCATTTTCAGAGTATCATCTTTCTACTTGAGCCCTTGGTATCAGCTCATTCCTCTACGCCCCGCCCCCCCCAATAACGGAACTATGAACATTCTCTACTCCAGAGGTGAAAAATTAGGGGAAAGTACATTTCAGAATGGAGATGACACAGTAACCCAGCCAACGCGGAGCTGGGACCCGAAGACAATGGGCAACCCGCCGCCCAGCTCGGCTGCGTTTACCAGGCGCGGCCACAAGGTGGGGGCAGGTGTCCGGCGGGAAGGCGCGGGCTCCAGGGCTCGCCGCCTTCCTTCCCTCTGCCTGCAGGCGGTGCTCAAGAGCCGGCAAACCTCGCTCCGGGAGCTCCTGGACCACGAGAAGTTTCTCATTAAGCGCAACCAGGACCTGGTCAAGACGATGCAGAACATGGAGGACAGCTCGGCCCTGCAATCGCGGGAAATGCTGCAGCAGCAGGACATCCTCAGTGTAAGACTCTGCAGGCACTGCTGCAGCACCCCGCCCCCTCCTCCCGCCTGCTTCCCCCTCCCCCTCCCCCAGCCTTTTGCTACCCGCTGCCGGCCCCATACCCCCGGGGCCCCAAGTCAGCTCAAGCGACTTCTTCCTTCTGGAACCCGCGTCCTTCTCCCCTTGCCCCATCCAGCCTGGCTTTGGGATCAGATGGAGGCGAGGCTCTCATCACTAGTTGGAAGACTGACTGAGTTCACCTTTGATGGAGTGTCAGTGTCCTTCCAGGGCACACAGTAGGTGTGCAAGAGAAAGTAGCTACTATCCCAAATACAGTGTAGTAAAAGTGCCGCTTGCGCGCACACACACACACACACACACACACACACACACACACTGTTGGTGACCACGATTCCCACTCAGGGTGGCACCATGTGTGCAGAGGACAACTGCCCCTTAGGGATTTAAGCCCGTCACTAGGCCTCTCTTCCTCTGGTGGCCAAATTGCCAATCTGACCTCTAGTGTCCACCTCCTCACTTCCTGTGCCCCCAGCCTCCTAATATCTACATACACGTACACAGAAACCTGATCACCTCCATTTACATAGGAAGTCACAGAAGGACGGAGAGGTAGTGGCCTTGCTCAAAGGTTACCCAGATAGCAAGCTCAGAGGTGGGATTGAATCCAGGCCCTCTGGCACCAGGCTCTGTGCTCCCCCCACAGGGTGGTAGGGCAAGAACCAAACCAGACTCACTGCCTCCGGTTGATTAGGATCCGCCTCATGGAGACCTCATAGAACAGGGGAGAGCTGCCCTTGTGGGTTTTCGAGCCGATAGCTCTTTAAGAAAGCAGAAAGCCTCGTCTTGGCCCCAGGAGCGGTTGATGGTTTCAAACTGCTGACCTTTTGGTTAGCAGCCAAAGGAGTTCTTACTGGAGAAACTGTATCTGCCCTTCCACGTAAGACAAACCCTCCAGGAAATGGAGAACCAGTGGCCAGCCGGCACGTGGTTACCTCACATCCACGAAAAACGACTGTGGAAAGTCCCCCCAATTCGGAAAAACAACCAAATGAAAATGGAGTGCCCATTCAGAAAGAAACGTTTGAAGAAACTATACATTTGCCCGTTGGGTCCAACCCATCCAGATTAGATGTCGCCAACAGTGAGGGCCCAGGAATCCCCTTGAATCCAGTCGTGGCCTTTGATGATGAAGGGAACGTTGGGTCTCTGCCTCAAGTCGATGGTGTTCAGACTCAACAGACAGCAGAAGTCAGATGAACATTTCTCCCGAGGAACCACAAGGCCACCGGCACCCCGAGATGGAGCGGCAGGGGAGGAGAAAGTTTGCAGGAGGGTAGGGCAGTGGTGACTGTTCTCCTTCGCTTAGTCTGCTCTGCTTTGGGTGACACTGAGGAAATGCCAGGGGGTCACGACCAGTTGTGTCCCTGTTTCCTGAGTGTCAGCCAAGGCTGGAATGAGCTGCCATCTCCCCCCCCCCCCTAGAATGTCATCGACATTGTGGAGTATTCTAACAAGAAGCGGCTGGAGGAGTTCGAGGGTGAGCTACAGAAGTTTGAGCAGGAGGAGGAAGAGAAGATGAACTGTAAGAATCTCTGGAGGGACTTCCTTGGTTTGGGGAGATCAGCGCTGGGCACTCACCTCATATCCCCCTCTTAACCCCACTTGGAGTGTATCACCCACTGATCCAGCTCCCTCTCTGGGTGTCTGCCTTTTTAAATATAGTTTTTATGGGCACTTTCTCCCTCAGTCACTGCATCTGCCTGTGAGGCCAGGACTGCCCTTTCACAGACGGGAACACCGAGGCCAAGGAGCCTGCCCAAGGTTACCTAGCTAGGAGGCAGCATCCAAATCCCAGCCTGGCTGTATTTCCCGCCAAGGCCCCTCTGAGAATAAGTAGCCGGGCCAGGTCCTAGGTGTGCCTGGCTCCTAGTCCCACTGGGCCTTAGGGCTTCTTTCCCCAGAGCTAACTGAAACCTTTCTCAGGGGGAGGGGCAGTGTGTCAGGTGACCGACCACAGAGCCCCTCCAAGGGGGAGGCCACCGTAGACCTGGTCTCAGTCCAGTGGTGGTTTTTGTCTGGAGAGCAAGTGCCGCTGCTTCCCTCTGGCTGCTTTTCCCTGAAAGGGGCACGTGAGGAGGCTGAGGTCCAGAGGGTGACAGGTCATGGCGGAGCTGGGACATGGTCAGGGACCTTACACCCAGTTTAGTGTCTCTCTTCTGCCCCTTGCCTCCTGTGGGGGTGGTAGATTCTCTAGGACTTCAACCTTTCTCTGCTCACACACCAGTCCATTGGCCGAGGAGTGTCCTCCAGGCTTCCTGGGAGGGGCCCCCAGGGGAGGACCCTGTCTCTCGTCCCTCTGGACTCCCCTTAACCATCCCCAGACCTGGAGCAGCAGGTGGACCAGTTGAATGCCAAGATCAAGAAGACCCAAGAGGAAGTGAAGTTCCTGAGCACCTACATGGACCACGAGTACCCCCTCCAGTCAGTTCAAATCTCCACCCTTCTACGCCAGCTCCAACAAATGAAAGACCTGCAGCAGGTAGCTGAGCCCTGGCTCTGCCCCACTGGCCTGTGCAGGAGCCAGGCCTGGCGGCCCACATCCTTTTGCCGGCCCTCAGGATGAGGTCGACGACCTTCAGGAGATGCGCAAGAAGGTCCTGGAGTCCTTGTTCAATAAGATTCAGGAGAAGAAAAGGGACCTTCTGAGGTCTCTGGCCGAGGTGAGCAGCCAGGTTGCTGGGGTGGGCCTCCCAGGTCCCCTCCAGCCCCTCCTTCTCGTCAACCTCCGGGTCACCTCCCTCTCCGTCCCCAGAGAGCCCTGCGACCCCATCAGGAGATCCTTGTACAGAACACCCGGGACAACCAGGACATCCTGAGATACATTGACAAGTTCAGAGATGTGAGTGGGTAAGGAAGGTGATGGGCGCCTCTGTGAGGAAGCGGGGTGGGGGTGGGGTGGGGGGGTGGCAAGTCCCCAGGACCTGTGGGAGTGGGGCGCGCCCTAATCTGATGCTCAGGAAGGTTTCCATCTCTGGTGTTGGTCTCCCAAGTCAAGTTGTGCTTTCTTTCACTTGGAGTTTATCGGGGGCTGGGGGAAGCGAGGGTGGGGGGGGGGGACTCGCACTGGCTGCTCGGCCTTCCCTCAGGAGCAGCACCCTCACCTATCATCACCTGCCCAGCCACAGCCATCCAACGGTCCCGAACAAGCTACCACCTTCACCCCAGGGGTCCCTTGCCCGTGGCTCACATTAACTTCTTCCCCTCATCTCCACCACCTTGTCCATTCTCCTGGTCCCTCTCAATCATCTCCACCAGTCGTTCTCATCCCCAAGCAATGCCCCCAGCTCTGTCCCCCTTGTAGCGCTGCCCCCTCCCTTGCCCCTGATCCTCCTCCCGCCTTGGTTGGCACCACCACACCCGGGTCTTTCGGCGAGCCAGCCCGCCCCGTCCTGGGAGACCCCATCCCAGAGCCCAGGTGGCCCTGCCCGGTCGCCGAGCCCACGGCATTTCCCAGAAATCTCCGCTCCTCCGTCCGCGGTACCTTTTACTTTTCCTGTCTCGCCCTCAGTTTAATCACGAGTTTCTGGAGGAAATTCCTGCCCTAAGGGCCCAGGTGCGGCAGCTCCAAAGCCAGATCCGGCAACCCCGAGAGATCATCTTTGCGGATGTCCTGCTTCGGAGACCCAAGTAAAGAAACCCTCCTTGCCTAAGCCTCAGCTTGGCCAGGGTCTAGAAGCGGAGGCCTCCCTGGTGCCCGGGGGTGCCCGGTGGGATGTCCGGTCCACAGGCGCCCCTGGAAGGAGGGAGGCTCTAGAGAGGGGGCAGCTGGGCCAGGACAGCACAGGGGAAGATTTCCAGCGCTGGCTGCTGCCCAGCCGGGCGTGTCCTTCCTGGCCAATCCCTGCTTGGCCTCTTCTGCCAGGTGCCCCCCAGACATGGACGTCGTCCTCGACATCCCGAGGGAGGAGCTGCTGCCGTTCTAGTGGCCCTGCCACGCGCCACCTCCCCTCCCCTAGCGCACCAG